CATACAAAAGTCAAAGGCTTACCCTTCTTTTCGAACCATTCTTTACGTTTCATGCAATCTTTCTGAAAGTGTCCAGATTTGTTACAAAAATGACACTTATCATTCTTGCGTTCCTTCTTTTGAGTAGCTTGATCAGAATCATTTATTTGGGGTGTTGCTCGCTTAATGCCTTTTCCAGGCCTTTTCCCAAATTTCTTTCTAACTTTTTGAGTCATGAGACGAACATTATGATTATCTTGTTGCTTAAGCCTTCCTTCCTCCTGAACTAACATACTGGCTAATTCATTCACATTCCACTTATCCTTAATAGTGTTATAGTGAATTTGAAATGGCCCATACTGAGTAGGTAAGGAATTGATAATAAATTGAACGAGAAAAGTCTCATCCACATTCATCCCTAAAGTTTTCAATTTCGCAACAAGATTAGTCATGTCAAGAACATGCTCATGCATACTACGAGTACCATCAAAACGCATAGTAGTGAGGTCAGCCATTAATTTCCCTACAAGAGACTTATCTGCAGTACGGAAACATTCTTCAATATTTTTCAAATATTCCTTAGCATTGTCAGTTTGGGGAAGAGTTGTTTTGATATTATTTGCAATAGTCATTCGCATAAACATAATACTCAATCTGTTTGATTTCTCCCAAACTTTATTGAGAGACTTTTCTTCCTCATTGCTTTCACCAGTAATAGCAATAGGTTTCTCAATTTGAAATGTTAAATCAAGATCTAATACTCCTAAATTGAACTGAACTTGCTCATTCCACTCTGAGAAGTTAGCCCCATTGAGAATTGGAACAGATGAAGCATGCGAATTCACAGAAACAGGAAAAGATACTGCAATAAAATAATCATAATAAGGTAATTGCTCATAACATTAATATTTTGAGATAACAACACATATAAAAATAAATAAATACATTATACAACTATGGTACCCCTTTGGGTAGTAACCATAAAATACAAAAAAAAAATGATGCTTAGATGTATTTATTGATATATATATTTTCATTGGTGATGCACTAATTAATTAAATAGACAAGTTACATTTGGATATCCTATAGCTACCCAATTAAAAATTACATACAACCCCTTAATATTTATTTAATCACTTGAAAATTAATTCCCTTTGAGGAATTATTTTTAATAATTGAATAAACCCAATATTCATGAATATTATAAAAAAATTATAAGCATCTTTATTCATGAAATATTGCAATTATGTCTACCACTAAAATTAATATCCATTAACCTTTATGGTTAGGCCACTTTGGTAGCTACCAACCTTTTTATAATATGAATATTAAATTACCTAGTGATAAATTTAATATTAAATTACCCACCATATTATGCACACATAATTTACCAAAATAATTAATTAAACTGTTAGTGAGTGTCTTAAAATTTCATGGATACATGTACTGTAATGTATATTAATAAACATATATTTAATTATGTACAAAACAAAAACGACATCATTATTTTTGAGAATCTCGATTTGCGCAGCGGAATAACAATCAAAATTTTCATCCTGTAAAGGGATTGTGCACGAAATAAGAATACAACCTAAAAAACAATCTCTTTTTGACTTGTTTTTTGTCTCGTTATGCTTATATATATTTAAGTTATATATTTATATAAATATATAGCCATCAACATCAACAAACACCAAGTTTCGTTTTTTTTTTTTTTTTTTTAAAAAAAAAAACTTTAACTCCACCTAGATTCCTTTGTCAAACTTTAAGTTGTTTTTGTCTCTTTTCAAACTTTCAACAAATACATATAATATATATATCAAATATACAACTTTAACTTCTGTCATCATATGCACGAAATCATAGCAGCTTTGTCACACCATTCTCATTATGTTCATATAACCATCAACAAAACAATAAGGTTCAGAAATCGAGGCATATTATAATAAGTCAACAAATCTAAGTAAGAGATATTGATTACTTTATGAAACAATAGTCAAGAGACAAACTGCATTAAACAGATTAGTCTATAATAAATTAAAATTTTAATTTAAACTTAAACATATTATTTATGCAAGTATAATGGAAAAATAATGAGTTCCAAAACTACGGGCTCTGATACCATATGTAAAAACCCTAATTAATTTTGTGTTAGACTTTAATCACAAATTATCATAAAACCTAGATCTTAGAACTTCAATTAATTTCACATCGTTATAACGCATAAATAAATATAGTTAGATATACGTACCTCTATTCATGATATCAAACCTTGTTGAAATTAAATCCAATGTCCAGATCCTTTAACCACGAATCAATCTGCAACTCTGATCAACAGACAAAGGTGGAAACTGATTTATCTCTCTTGGCCTTTTACACACAATAACCTTTTTATGTGTTGTATCAATAATCGTACATAATTGATGGAGCATATGCACTTTTATAAAGGCAGAGAGAGGACCAATTTTCCTTTTAGTATTACAATTTTACTTTCTATTAAAGTAAGGAATTAGAAGGAAAACACTTCTCCATAAGTAATTACCAAAAAAGTAATTATAAATTGACCAAGAATAATTAATTGATATCTATTTACTTAGCCACCAAGTAATATGTCACATGTCCAAATCATGTGGGCCGTAATTAAATAAATAATCTTACAATGATAACCAACCATGAGACATGGTTGATATGAATATTCATCACAACAAATTTCCAGTGGATTGTTACGTTTTGGTGATTTTAAAGAGTTTAAAATGATCAATATATATATTTTTTTAAGTGTATTCAATGAATACATTGAATAGATTCCAACAAAAACTCTTTCTCAATAATGAATAAAATGTTCTCACTTCTTAAAAGTATTATAATCAATATGCAACAAAAATTGACCGTGTCAACACTAAATATCTATATAATTTTTTAAATTCTTTTTGAGCCCTACATGTAAAATGGCAAATATATATATATATATATATATATATATATATATATATATATATATTAGTAAATATGTACGTGCGTTGCACGTGTGTAAAATCTAATTTAAAATTAAAATTTAATAAAGTAATTAAATAACTATAAATTCAAAAATATCCATGAATATAAAATTGACACAAAATAAAGAGATATAATTTTTTTTTATTAAAATTTATAATAGGAATTCAATTATTGATAGGTGTATTTTTAAACTCCTAAAATAATATCAAAATCATGTGGGCCGTAATTAAATAAATAATCTTACAATGATAACCAACCATGAGACATGGTTGATATGAATATTCATCACAACAAATTTCCAGTGGATTGTTACGTTTTGGTGATTTTAAAGAGTTTAAAATGATCAATATTTTTTTTTTTTTAAGTGTATTCAATGAATACATTGAATAGATTCCAACAAAAACTTTTTCTCAATAATGAATAAAATGCTCTCACTTCTTAAAAGTATTATAATCAATGTGCAACAAAAATTGACCGTGTCAACACTAAATATCTATATAATTTTTTAAATTCTTTTTGAGCCCTACATGTAAAATGGCAAATATATATATATATATATATATATTAGTAAATATGTACGTGCGTTGCACGTGTGTAAAATCTAATTTAAAATTAAAATTTAATAAAGTAATTAAATAACTATAAATTCTAAAATATCCATGAATATAAAATTGACACAAAATAAAGAGATATAATTTTTTTTTATTAAAATTTATAATAGGAATTCAATTATTGATAGGTGTATTTTTAAACTCCTAAAATAATATCAAAATCAAAACTATTTTTTATTACAATCTTTTAATATTTTATTTAATTTATATATTAGAAAATTATTTATATATTATTTATAAAATTAGAAAAGAGGTGGAGACTAAATAGACTAAATTATTTATATTTTTATATATATTTCCTTGTCCAATTAGAAAGACTAAATTATTTATATTCTTTATATATTTCCTTATCTAAATTAGATTTCCTTTTATTAAAAAAATTCATAATAAATAGGTAATTTCAGTTTTATATAAACTCTTCTAAATAGGTAATTTGAGTTTTATATAAATTCTTCTAACACCTTATATTAATTTTAAAATCAAAACTCATAATAAATATGTAATTTGTGTTATTCTAATATTTTAAACATACATACTGAACATATAAATTTATTATTAAAAAATAATGTACTATTGCTCGTGATTAAAATATGATTTAAAATCAATATTTAACAAAATAGTTAAATAATTCTAAATTCTAAAATATCCATTAACATAAATTGACACAAGGTAAAAGAGATAAAAATATAATTTTTAGTTGAACTTTACAATAGGAATTCAATTATTGATAAGTGTATTTTCAAACTCCTAAAACAATATCAAAATCAAGCCCTATTTTTTATACAATTTACTGATATTTTATTTATTTATATATTAAAATATTATTTATAAAATTAGAAAATATGTGGAGACTAAATAGACTAAATTATTTATATTTTTTTTATATATTTCATTGTCTAATTAGAAAGACTAAATTATTTATTTTCTTTATATATTTCTTTATTTAATTAGATTTTTTTATTAAAAAAACTCATAATAAATAAGAAATTTGAGTTTTATTGAAACTATTCTAATCACCATATATTAATTTTAAAATAAAAATGAAAAATAAATAGGTAATTTGTGTTACTCTAAAAGAAAATATACGTATGGAGCATATAAATTAAAAATAATGTACTGAAATACTTTAATGTACTAAAACGCATTTTGTACTTTTAATAATAGTAATAGATATAGATATAGATATAGTATTTCTCAAACCGAAAAATAATTATTTTATTTTACATTTATCATTGTTGAAAGAGAGTAGTTTCCTGAGCTTGTGATTGGGCTCGGACCACTGGACTGATAGGCTGGCATGACGATGCCTTCAACGACACGAAACGCGGTTTTAGATAACGCAATGGACTGTACCTTCGAAGTTGGGTAAGGGCCGTAGCCGTACCTTCCAAGTTGTTTCTGAAAATTCTCTCTCTCTATAAAAGAAGGAAGAGAGGCGGTTAACTCCGCTTGAAATTCCAAAGCTTTCCTGAAACCTCTCTACCTTCTCCTTTTCCTTCTGTAAGTCTCATAGAGAATCCTTATTCTCTCATAGTTTCTTATATATTCCTTTAATTTTGTTCAAATTCATTCATCGCTGTCTGATCAGATCTCGTTCAAAAGCACAATTGTATAGTTTGATCAGTGAATTTCTCAATTTCGGAGTTATTTCGAAGCAAATCAAAGATCTGAGCGACCATGTCCTACGCTTACCTCTTCAAGTACATTATCATAGGAGATACCTGTAATCTTTATCTCAATTCCTTTACTTCCGATTTTATTGCGTAATACCGATTTTAGAGTTTATATATTCGTATTCACACTGTATATGTGTGTTTCTCTGGATCTTAAGGAGTTTTGTGGCAACTTTGATATACCTAAACTGTGATGATTCAGGAGACATACTCGCACAAGATAGATAATGCGTGTATTGATCTTTTCATACATTGAACAAGTGAAATTTAATGTTATGGTGTACTTCGTTATCCCAATATATTAGTGTGTTGTATTGTGTGCAAGTTTTGTCATACTGAGTCAAGTTGGTAACCTTTTTTCATTGCTTTTCTTGCAATGATAACTATATATTATATATTATGTTTCTGCATAGTGTGTGCAAAGAACAAAATTGTGCCATTATTACATAGGAAAGAAGGTTGGTAAAAGGATAAGATAAGTTTCCCAAAGGAAGCATTTAAGATACTAAGTTTTGCTTATCTTTTAGCTATGTTCATAAAGTTGTGACCTAAAGATGTCGTGTACACACCAGGATCCTCTCCCGTGTACATTGCGACAACTTTAAATTGTGATTGCGACAACTTTGAAATGAAAATCAAACAACTGCATAAATGTGTTGAATTCTCGATTTAATGGTATTATAACGTTGCAACATGATGTAATATGTTGCACATGTGTTATATATTCAATATAAATGTGTTTCATAACTTTATTTAAAGTTGCTGCATGGGTGTTGCATTTTGTAACTTTGTTGCATTGTACGAGATGAATCTTACATATGTATCGCCCATATCCCAATCAGGACTTGACCCTTTAGGGTGGTCGGAGATACCACTCAAGCTACTAAATGGGTTAGCTACACTCCTCTTCTATTGTCTTTCCAAGATTTAACTTCACAAGGTATAGGAAAAGGTTTGTAAAGAGTAGGAAGTAACTTTACTTTGTAAGATAGCTTCATGGTATTACGTAGTTTGGACTATATACAATCAAAAGATTCAATTTTTTTTCTAACTTTCGCCCCTGGCCAAGGAAATTCATTAGTCTCTTACTCGGGAGGGTTCCAGTGGACATGTGTTGTACTTGAATAATTTTAGAAGGCAATAGGTAAAGGTGAAACATTTTGTTTTTCCCAATATTAGGTGAAGTTTCACTTCTTAAATGTCCTCCAGTGGTATAAATTTCGCTTTATAAGGAATAATGATCATGATGGTAGTGGACTAGTGGCCATTATCTCATATTAGATCTTTACAAATTATGACTCCCACTTATATTAAACTACGAGATGAATATTTTTGTTGAAGTAATGAATGATGGAAGAATTTTTGAAACTCATGTGAGTTTGATCCTTTGTTACACAGCGGTAGGAAAATCATGTATTCTTCTGCAGTTCACTGACAAACGGTTTCAGTCCGTGCACGACTTAACCATCGGTGTTGAATATGGGGCCAGAATGATCACAATTGATAACAAACCAATAAAGCTGCAAATAGGGGACACGGTTGGTTTATTCTATTCTTTTTTTGTTTCCTTACTTGACTTATATTACATTCATGCACATTTATATTTCATTATTTTATTGCTATGTCAGGCGGGTCAAGAATCATTCAGGTCTATTACGAGGTCCTACTACAGAGGTGCTGCTGGTGCACTGTTAGTTTATGATATCACTAGGTATTATTCTTATTTGAATCTTTAACAGTTAATGAAGCCATTTTCTTTTATAAACTAAAGAAGTCATTCTTTTTTCTCATTTAATGCATGTAAACTAGGAAAAAGTCTTGCATATATAGTTGTGAGTATGTTCTTCTGCATCTTTAGTTGTCATTAGTCATGCTACTGAAAGAAGGAAATTGATCATTTTCTGTTCACAATATTCTAAAATATTTCTTGGATTATTTGTTTTCAGTGACTTCTATGCTATATTTTTATATTTGTCCGACCTAACTGCCTTCCACAAAAGAGGTTGTATCAGTACATTGTCTTATGATGCGTCTCTGTCTTAGTAACATTATCAACATTATATCTTTAAAACGTTTTGAAGAATATGCATTATGAGGAGACTCAATTGCCAATGTGTTTACAGGGAATGAGCATTTTTAAACAATAATGAATGAGCTGGGAGTTATGTTGAGCCATATAGCTGATATATTCTTCATGGAAAGTACAGCCAAAACAAGATAATAATTTCATAAGAAAAACTCACATAATGATACAAGTCAGAACAAATAATAGGCACTTCATTATGCTGAGTTTTTTAACTGAAATGACAAACTGACTTACAAATTTACAGAAGCCATTCTGGTCGTCAACTATTTACTTGTCTAGAGAGAGGATGAATTAGCATACCACTGTGCAGAATTATCTAATATATTCTGGCTGTGTGTGTGTGTTTTCATTTATTATTGCATGGCCAATTTTTAATTATATACACACTTCAATTGAAGATATAGATAACTATGGATTGGGTTGACTGTTTGGGCTGGTCTCACTGGCTTGGTGTAGTTGGGATTTGGCTCTGCCTCTCTGGTTGTAATAAAGTACATTTTTAATGGTTCCAATTCTTAGGAGGGAAAGTTTTAATCGCCTTGTTAGCTGGTTGGAGGATGTAAGGCAACAAGCAAATGCCAACATGACTATTATGCTTATTGGCAACAAGTGCGATCTTGCTCACAGAAGGGCCGTAAGCACAGAGGAAGGAGAGCAGTTTGCCAAGGAACACGGTTTAATATTCATGGAGGCATCTGCAAAAACTGCTCAGAATGTTGAGGAGGTGATGAATTTGCTAACAGATGTTTTAAAATGTTATCAACTGAAGCTTCTTTACTATTATATTTCTTTGTTTTCCACTTATCAAAAAGAAAAATTATATTTCTTTTTTTCTTTCTGACACTCTTCCCCCTCTCTCCTTTTTCTTTTGCTTTTGCAGGCATTTATAAACACAGCTTCAACAATCTATAAGAAAATTCAGGATGGAGTTTTAGACGTATCAAACGAGGTATGCCTTGGATTTATTTTCTCTCTTTTTCTGCTGGTATTTGGATAGTTCAATGTGAGGTGGGCCAAAAAAGGTTTAATTGATTAAGGTGTTTCAGTGGTAATTCAATCTTGAAGTCTTGAACATATATATTCATGAGGCCTTGGAATGTATGATCATAGCATAAATTAGCAACTGCCTAAGATGAATCACATTGAGGTTCACCTATTAAAACCATAACTTCTGGTTACCCTTTTCTCCTTATCTAGTTTTAGTGAGACAAATATTTCAGTTGTTAAGTGGCATCCACTGTAATGCTAAGAGAGGACATGGGTGAAACCATTGTCTCATAAACTGTCCTGTTTTTGAACACGAAAAGTTCAGTTTCGGATTACTAGTCTAGTTGCATGGGAGATGTGAGTAATTTTGGCAACATAAAGTGAAACTTTTGTCCTGTTAGTTACTTAGTGAAAAGCTATTTTGATTGGTTGTGATAGGTAGGATTTGCAGTGCTTGTGCTTAAAAATTATGCCTTTTTTTTTTGTTTTTTTTGTTTTAGATTTTGCAGTCTGACGGGATAAAAGTTGGATATGGGGGCATCCCAGGGCCAGCAGGAGGTAGATATGGGTCTGCTTCTCAAGCAGGGGGTTGTTGCAGTTGAAAGTGGAACTCATTTTCTAAATCAATCACATTTTTAAGCTTTCTTTACTTGTGCTACTTCAGGCTTTTATGATATTCTCTGTCCTTTGAAGCGAATCATCAGTTTATTTTTTGATTGTTGAAATTTATCAAATATGTGGGAAAAAAAAAAAAAAAAAAACCATATTAATTAATAGAAATTACTAATTGTTCAATCTGTGTGTTTCTTCCACTGGGATTCTTGATGACTTGTTGTAGAATTCAATGGTTAAATGTTGTATTTGTGTGGGAAGTTTTTTAAGTTGGAATCTGTAGTCCTACCCACCCACCCTTGCGGCCTTTCAGATGTCTCCCACTGGCTGGCACTGTATTTTAATTTTATGATATGAAAGGATGGGAAGAAAGGCAAGCTAGAAGGTATGGGAATAGGAGTATCGCGAGAGAAAGGTGTACTTTTCTTCCTTTTGAAATGGAGGATTTTTCGTTGCTTTATTTCTCGTAGGAAGTACCATACCCCGATGGATCATCCGTTAGATGGATTTTTCGCTACTTTATTTCCCTCAACAAATCAAATCTCAAACCCTTTACTGCTAACCTGATTCAGTGGGTGAGTGAGTGAATCAATGCACTTGCAAATTAGGGATGGACTTTTTTTCGGCTTTCTTTTCGACAGTGTGGAACTTTTTAAAAAACTATTCCTCCAGCAAACTTATGCAAACTCTCTATTTCATTAATTTTATATTGGATTAAGTGCAAAAAAAAAAAAAAAAACAAATCCCTCACACTATTAATGTAGTGCAAAAAAGTTAATATGTAGTATAAAATTCCTATACTATCAATTATACCTCGGTTCCTGTAAAAAGAATTTAATACCAAATTACCATTTTAGACAATTTCCAAACTCCCGCCACAAAAATAAGAAAACACTATCAATGTGCTGCGCACACACAGAGGCAAAGGGGAGAGTGCATATAGCTCGTCGACCAGCTCGACGCAGGAAGTACCGCCGTAACGAATCACAGAGACGCTGTTCTAACACAGTGTAGTACCGTCGATGATGGTTGTGGATTCTGCGGCGGTGAAGGGTTATGTACCTGTGGTTGCCGACATAGTGAAGATGAAGACTGGGAATTGCTGAAGAAGAAGGTGATGCGTGAGCGTGTGAAAAGCGCATTAGATCTACGCGCGTAAGGCGCGAGTCAGACGACGGCGGTGAGGTTGCTGGCACTTTCGGAACTGCGACAGTGCAGTGACGACGGCATAGTGCTCTGAAGGCGTCGGAGGTGAGATCGGGTTGATGGAGGCATCGTTGGTGGTGATGGTCATTCGATTCTGGGTACGGCATGGTGGTGGTAAGAAACGGCGATGCAAGCAGTTCGGCAGTGATGAGGACGATGAAGGCAGACGGGAACTGTCTCTTCATGACGTCGATCTACGGCGGAGGACGACGAGGAACCGGGTCAAGATTTCCTATGAGAAAGTGCCTGTTACAGTGAGCTTCCAGCGAATAAGGAGGAGCTCAGTGAGGAACGCCAATAAGATCAGAGCACCGCCTTTCCGTCCTGCATCGCTGCCAATCAGAATCCTTGCTCGCCGACGTCGTGTATCACCGGAGGGACTGTTGGGTTCAGACCCAGTTTCACACTCTCTCCCTTTTTTTTTTTTTTGGATAAATAGAAATGCAACTGGTTTTTGGGGCAAGAAATGGAGATGAAGAGAGGGAAAGAGAGAGAGAGTTGGGTTTGATGATGAGAGTGAGCACCATATTGAAATAGAAGAGGAGGAGCTGAACATTTTTTTTTATTGTATTGGGTGTGGGGGTGGTGGCGGCGGCTCTGGGTGCGGTGACTATAGTGGTGGAGCCGCCACCAACAATGGTTGTGGCACTGATGTGGCGACCGGGAGCCCTCAGAAAAGGGCATAATAGGAAGGAATTTATAAATTAGGGTTTTAAAATTTATATTATTTTAATTTTGACTAAAAAGTTGCCAAAGGATTTTTGAATTTTATAAACTGAAATATACATTCTCAAAAAAGAGAAACTATTTATGCCCAAAACCTATATTTTAAAAGAAAAAAAAAATTGTACTTAACCTTTTTATATTTTATTGCATTCAAATTAAATCCTGTAGATAGGATTTATATTCAACCCATATAATTTTTTAAATGATAAAATATACTCCTATATGAATGAATCAGGGTTGAATTTTGGATATCTTTCAAAGAATATCCACCCAATTTTTTATTTTTGATTTTGAATTCAAAATTAAAATCCAAACTTTTTCTAAAAGTGAATTACAAATTAAATTTAGTGTTAAGTTAAACCTGCTCTATTTTATACATGTACCAACGAAATTCTTTAGGAGTGATTTCAAAGATATTTAAACTCTCATCCCGCAAGATGTGAAAGTACAAATTTACTATAACATTATTTCAATAAGTTTATTTTTTTTATTTTTTTTTTTATTTTTTTTTTCTTCTCTTCTTCCTAAAATTGGACAAAATTGAAATTTTTGTATGGGATTTCAATACTTGGAATGTTTGGAAGCTGTTTGAGGCAATTCAAGGAGCGCGGTGAAATCTTCACTTCCATATAAGCAATTTCAGTTTTAGTGCACTCAAGGGATTCCGGTTTTTATCCATTTTGGGGGTTTTTTATCCTCCTTGAGGTAGGGGTCTCTAAATCATGTTTTTCTTGTGCCTTTATGAATTAATTTCTTGTTAATTGTTGTTAACATGTTAATTGGTGTTACTTTCCCCTATAATGATTTAATTGTGGTGTACAAAGTCCATAATTATATGTATTAGTTGATTTGTATGAAAAACATGCCTAAGTATTGATTTTCTATGCCTGTTATGTTGTTAACTTGTTAGAAATGATGTATAAGAACCATGTGTAATTTTCTTAGAATTTCTTGTAAAGCATGCTTAATTGTGTTGTATGAAAATCCCTTATTATCATAGCATTGAAAGTATGAGACATGTATGCATTTCATTGGGTATGCATGAAGGGAAATGATTTGAAATAAAAGAAAAAATGATTTTTGGGAAAATTTTTGATGAAATGGTTTTGAGAAAACCCGGTCGCCGCTGAGTCACCAAAGGGCCGTGGTGTTAATATAACCTAGAGAGAAGTAGGGAAATCACCCTAGTGTGGTTGAGCTAGCTGGGCCCCAAATGACGCCGCGGGGGTACCAAGGGTCAGGGATAATAGCCAATCCTTCTCTTGTGTCGCTGCGGAGTCACCAAAGGACAGATTATATTAACAGTTTGAAAAGTGATGGATTTGGATTTTGAAAATAGGGAACGACATACATGGCATTGCATTTCATGGCACGACATTGTTTACTTTGAATTTAGAATTGATGTTGTATTCCTTCCCGGCATAGCATGACCCCTATCCTCTATTCCTATTCATTATTTGGATTCACGGGGTTACAAGAGGTGTGTCTTTGGTACCACCTATTGAGCAAATTGCTCACCCCTTTATATTTAACATTTTCAGGTCATAGAAAGGAGGTGGCCGATGATAATCCTTCACAAGTTTGAGGAGGACTTGGAGTTCATTTCTTTTGCTATCTTTTGTAATTTGGTCATTTTTTTGTAAAAGCCTTATTGTGGAAGTGCAATTAAGTTAGCTGCCTTGGCCTTGTAATTTACCTATGAACTTGACTCTAATTTGTCAGATATTTGAACAAGAATGTAAAAACAATGTATTATATATATCTATATATTTGAATGGTTGATGGAGTTGCCTTGTATATAAAATGTTGAGGATCATGACCATGATATGTAGTTTACCACTTGGGATATTTTTAGAACAAATTTGAAACAAATTTGCGAAGTTTTCCATAAAACATTTTTCATCTTCAGGATTTTCAGCATTTCCAGTAGCTGGGGTAGCACGCAGAGCCATTTCGGTCGACCGAAATGCCTGCTTCGGTCAACCGGTTCGTCCAGAGACTTCAGTGGCTGTTAAGGTTTCATTTTGGTTGACCGAAATGCCTGTTTCGGTCGACCGGTTCAAGGGAGTTGCTTCGGCCGACCGAAGTGCACCTATTTTGCTCATTTTGTCCTTCTTTTTAATGTAATTAATCCTAAGCGTTGGAAATTTGTTTTTGATGAACCAAGAGGGGGGCTGAATTGGTTATTCTCTTCCCAACAGAATCAATAAGATAATTCAGCAAGCAAACAATAAGTACTTAAAACAGGATTTACAAGGAAACCCTTTCAACTAGGGAAAACCTTGGTTCTTGGCCATGGCCAATGAAGATCACTACTAGCTATATGTACGTTGTTACACACTCAGCTGTCTTACCCTCTGCACACACCCAAGCACAAGAATGGACACTAGTTTTCACAACCAATACACACACTAGCTGATTTCAGTGCACACACACACTCCCGCTGTCCTAAGCACCCTTGCTTGGACCAACAAAGCTCATATAGCTCACCATATACATCATTACAAATGATAAACAAGATAATCAAATTCCTTCTACAATTGAAATAGCTTGAACAACACAAAATACCAAGTTACTGCCTCAAAATCACTAAACTGCTGCAGCTAGAATATGAGGGGTAAAATTGGAATTTATCATCGAGAATAGTTCATCAGTAGCTTCCACAGTCTTAATTCACTGCAGTACTTATGTTAACGTCCTTAAGCAATTCAGTATAGCATGAGTATATATCAATGTACTACCACAGTTCTTAAATAAGCTCAAAAACACAATTTGAGAGGTTTTGCAAGGTCACTATCACAATCTGTCAATGTTTTGCACCACAGCCAATTTCTACAGCTTTGATTCATCAAAATAGACTTGCTCGCACATAGATAATCCATAGAATAGCTAGACTTAATCATTTTGCACTTGAATCACAATATATGTAAAAAAACAAGCTTATCTACTGATCTAAGAGCTCAAAATCCATTTCAGCGTGTTTCAGTTCAAAGAAAACTACTGAGCAAGTGTAAATAGCATAGTTATACCTATGACAACCCTCAGAAATAACCACAGCAGCTTGGAACTCAGATTTACTACTCAATCCAGCCCTTTCTTCATCAATTTGGACAGCAGCAGCATCTTTGCACAGTGATCACACATAAGGCTTGAGTGAGTGGGTTTTTCTAGCATAAATCATCATTACAAATCATAGAAAGACTTTGGTCAATGAAAAAGAGCTCGAGAGTTATCTTCTGCAACTTGTTTTTAGTCTCTATGAAAGGCCATTAACCCTAGAAGATACTTATAACAGCATATATATATTTCAGTGTAAATGCTTGACTGCACCTCTCTTCATTCAATGCTATCACCT